TAATAATATTATCAAAGTGTGTAAACGAAATTAAATAATTACAATGAACATAAGTATAATATTATATTTATATAATAATAATGATCACTAGTGGAGACTGGAAGTCCATCAGTCATTGAACCGATCTAAGGATTATARAAATAATATTTATATCTATAATCTACTATATAGAAAAATCTATAATATGTATATAAAAATTAAAATCCATCGAAGGATAGACTATTTATTGCAAGCTAAAAATGTTGAATAAGCTGATCATGCCGTCTTCTTTTGTAAAAATCAACCCCATCTCCGGGTTCTCAGATATAAAAAAAAAACTAGCAATTTTACTGAATTCAATATGTTTACACTATAGTTTATAACAATATAAATACAAATAGGAAATTAGTTATATCTATCAAGTATCTTGAATCTATTGATATATCTGCAGATATCCGCAGACAAATGTAGAATAATAATATTATTATATATTGTAACACGAATGCGATGTAAATCAGTGGAATTCTTACGTTTTTTTTTTTGTAAAAGTGTAATGTTATTTAATTATATATATGTGAACCATATGATGCAATTAAAAAATGCATATGATGAATTAGTTAATATACTGTATTAGTATACGAGTACGCCTATAACCTCATATGCTAAGTTTTATTTTGTTGGCAGCGCTAATGACACAATATATAATATCAAAGTAAAAATGTAGCGTTTGGGTTCTGAGTATAAGCGATTTAACTATTTACAAATTATAACTTAGAAGTATAATTATGGGTTTGTTCAATTGCAATATCAAGTTAGAAACTAAATTCGACATTTATTGTTTGTGGAATTTTTTTCACTATCCATTTTACCTATACTTTAAATTWAAAATCTATTTAGTTGATTATTTTTTAATTTAATTTTTTTCAATTATTATTAGATATTTACAAATTTAATAATATTACATTTTATATTTTTATATTTATAACAGTAAATAAAGATTGATTACTTGTACGAATAGTAAGTAGTATGTGTTGAATAGATAAATTTAAGCTATAGTATTTTAAAAATTAAATACTATTTATCTGATTAATAATTTTAAGMGTTAAAATCTTTTTGAAAATAATCAACTAAAAACCCGTTTGTTCTATTAGGTTGGTGAACCTGATTTAAATAAACTTAATTTGGTATGAACCTTTTAATAACCTCATTCTAGAACACAATAATTTCATAAACCAATTGGTATATCGACCCTAAAATTTTTAGAGCGTAATATTGGTATACCGACCTTAAAATTTTTAGAGTGCAATTGGTATATCGACCCTAAAATGTTTTGAGCACAATTGATGGTAGGTACATGAAAAGGTCATTTTAAGCRCAATTGGTGAACTATCCCGATTAAATTTTTGATAAATTTATTAATTTACTTAGGAATTATAATTATTTAAACTTCTGGCAACAATAATTTATTACGATTATCAATATTGACCTTAA